ATTGGAAATATAAATAATAAAAAATAATTTTACATAAATAGATAAGATTAATCTTTCCATTCCTCATGCATAATTTTTAGAAGAATTATTCTTAAAGAAAATTATATTTATGTCTCGTAAATACGAGAGATAAATATCTACAAAAAGATCATTTCTCGCTCGTAAAGCGTTACAGAAATGGAAGATTATTGCCAGTGCAGTTGTTTCTACATCCGACATCAGCGTGTGAAACAGCAAGCAAAGGGACCGGTGCAACGAGAGCCTGGGAGTGCCTTTTTAATGTCACGGAAGGAGTTACCTTTAAGTATCGTCGATGTCGAATCACATGAATCGTTAGATTGGGAGAGAGTCCGATAATAAGAGAGTCGGAGACAGAGACACGACATTCCTCGATCGGATTTTTGCACAGGGGAACGACCCAATCGCGAGATGGACCCGATGCTCTTCAAGGAGCGCAGAGAATGCCTACGTCCTTCCTTTGCTCGTAAGTAACGATTAAATGTAATGTTCGATCCGTGTAATCGTAATTATACGTTCTGGCTTAACATAATTCATAAACGTTAACATTAATATGCCATGCGATGCCTTGCAATCACGATCGTATGCGTTTCTGTAGAAAAATTCCATTACATTTCTGATTAAATAAAAGTGGATTCTGCGTGCAATTGAAAAAAGGAGTTAGTATCATCTCGATTAATTATACATGTAGAAATTTTTATTATAAGCGAATAAGATAAATTTAATCACAGATATCAGATAATATATACCATTATATTATTTCACAAAGAAGCATAAGAAATATAAATACACATAAAAAAATAAAGTATAAAAGCAAAGAAGTGATCGACAATAGAGTAGCTTCAGGATTACGAATCCTTCAACTTATCTTTTCTCGAGAAGATGATTCGTTAATCTTCGCTGCGGTCGTTAAGGGTTGAACCGAGATAGTCACGTCGTTATCGGGGATTGCCATCGTCAGTACAAAAGAAAGGATTAAGTCCGTGTTCTAACCTTCCTCCTCGGTGACCTTACCCAGCCGCTCGTCATTCCACAGCATGCTCCTGCCCGAATGATTTGCATAAGAGTACCGGAGTATGTAATCGAGCGTTCGCCAGGGCATACAGATAGATACCTTCTATATGTGCATGCGCTTCGGCAGCAATATGTAGCTACATATAAGGTCTCGCGTTGCAGGCACACGATTCAGGTAAATGCATTTACTATTCTGTGCTCGCACAGCGAGCCTGGCTCATCCGCATCTTACAAAGATCAAATTACATCCTCCTTTTACATATATATGTGCACTTAGAGACAGCTGCTGGAGTAATCCTACAGATGAAGGATTTCAGATAGGCCGGAATAATTAACGAGGGTATATCTACCAGCTCATAGGCGATACGTAGAGCCCAATATGGAGGACATACCGGTGCCTACGGAGAACACATTTGATGTGACATTACCGGCGACACATTCTGTAAGTGTGTGCTTTCTGATATTTAAAAGTATAAAAAATTAACGCAATATTTAATTGGTTTCTATAACTAATAAAACATAATTTTCTACAAGATAATTATGAATTTTATATATATGTATATATCTTTTATTTAGTATTTAGGACAAAATTTAGAAGAAGTAAGGGGAAGAACAATACTGGATGATGGCATTTATATGAATCTACCACTGTTGATAAAACAATCTGTACTATTTCCTGGTCAAACATTACCTATGACAGTTTTTGGCGCACAGACTATAGATATGTTGCAAAATTGCATACAAAATGATCGTACTTTTGGTGTTGTGTGTTATGGTCATCCTGAGATGGAACGAATAGGAACAACAGCTGAGATTTACGAATACACAGATGGAGGTATATGGATGGATCATGGTCGGCGAGAATTTCGCTTAAAAGCTAAAGGAAGGCAGCGCTTTAAGATATTACGTATTATTACGCAGGTCAGTTTTAACATGAGTGACATAAAAATTTGCAACAATAATTGTTTGAGAAATATAAGAAAATTATATCTTATAGAGAGAAATTAAAGACGTTTTTTATAGAGTATTATATATATATATAGTATTAAAAAATTAACTTATTTTCATATATTTCACAATAAAAAAATTTATATGATTTAACCTTTCTAATGATATAATTCAATACAACTGCAGTAAGAGATCAGGAGTTTTAATCTCAGATATAGATATCATACTTATATCACACATCTTTACAATTTACTGTATTTATCATAATTTGCTTATAAGATTTTGATATTATAATCAGGATCACAATAAAATTTCGGCCAATGTTAAAGTGTTACCAGAGATAACACTTGGGCCACCGTTTTTGGACCAACGCTTGGCCTCATTAGATCGCTTGAGAGTTTTTTCTGATTTGGAGGAAGACATGAAGAAACAGGAGAAAGTAGAGAACTTGGATGCCGCGGTGACTGCTTGGCCAGCTTGGGTCTATAGGCAGTACGATCCTATAAGACTCTCCTTTAGAATACGTCAGCATCTTCAGTTTCTTGAAACTAGTAAGTTGCAATTGTATAAATAAAAATATATATGTAGATTCACTCAACGTTTTTATTGTATAAAAATTGTATTTTATAGGAGGTGGTAGTATACCTAAAGATCCTATAGATTTATCCTTCTGGGTCGCACAAAATATTCTAATGGATCATGATGAGAGACTTATATTATTAAGTTACGATTGCGCAATTTCTCGATTGCAAAGAGAATTAAAGTATCTTATGGAGGTATATATAAAACAAAACATTATATACATATCTATATAAGTACTTGACGAGATAATGTTTGCATTGTTTAATATCAAACTGTTATTTAAAGGATAAAATCTACGTGTGCGTTAATTGCGAATCCTTTATCGGAAGACAGTCACACATGTTTCCGATGAATAAGGAAGGTCCGCAGGGTACTTATGTCAATCCCGGCGGTGTTATACACGAGACTATAACTTTTTACCACGTTCAAGGAGTTATGCTCAGTGATGCGGCTCCTTCGACTGAATACAGTTGGTTTCCAGGGTAAAGTTGCAATGTTCCCGTTCATCGGAAATGCGTGAAGTTTAGATTTCATTGTTAATAATTGTGCGCGTAATTTTAGATATGCTTGGACAATAGCTATCTGTAAAGGCTGTCATCATCACGTCGGTTGGAAGTTTACAGCAGTGCATAATTTAAGGCCCAAAACATTTTGGGGTCTGACACGCAGGAGTTTGAAGAATAAGAAGAAAAAATAAAACAAAGATATACATGTTTAATCTATATTGGGTGTCATAAATGTTTTTATAATTTACTAGATGAGTATTTTTAACAGATGTATCATGTTTGATATAGTTAATTTCTCTTATTTTAAGATTTTTTCTCAGTTTATAATCTTATTTTAATAGCATATGAGCAGAATGGGAATGACTGTATTCTATTTTTCATTCGTGTATTCACTCTAATGTATGACCATGTGGCAAATACGATTAATGGAAGAGCAGCGCAAAAGGGAAAATTTAGTTTAGAGGAAAATATCCGATTTAGGATAGAGAAAAATCTAACAATAAAATGGGAGATCTTAGAATAGATGAAACTTATTTTACATACCATGATCGATATGCAATTAAAAAAAAAATTTAAGTGACAGCTAGTAAACTTGAAAGATTTTATAGAAATAAAGATAGATAAAGCATAATATATATTAAATGTTAGCTTATATTATTCTTGATTACAAATCGTGATACAATGCATTCTTTCCAAAAATTTTCTTAGGAATTTATCCAAATAAATATTAAAACATTTTTATGACACCCAGTATGCAGTGCATGAGTTTTGTTCTATCTCTAATTTAATTATAATACGCTTGGACATGAGCAATTTATAAAAATTATATATGCAAAAAATAATTATTATATCAATAGTAATTATGAGTTATAATACAAAAAACTTTATGTATATATTGAATGGTTAAGGCTGTTGCAAGGGAGTTGATCAGCCAACAATCTTTCTATTTGCATTAATTAAAAATTATATAAAATATTATTTTTTAATATGCAGATATTGCAGAGACTATATAACTAGAAAACAAGTAAAATATCTTTCATATTGTTCATTCTTTTATGTATAATTTTGTTTTTAGTATCTTGTATAAGAAAAAACATATTGTTTCATCTCTTTATAGTAGTTCTATTTTTTGATTAATCTGTTGAAATTTTATTATTCTATCCATAATGTTCAAATTTTTCTTTGTCCTTTGTGCAATTGAGATAAACAGAGAGAGATGCAAATCGTTAAACGTGATTTGTACAGTAGCAGGATTCTCTAAACATCTTAGCGACGATTATCGTTGTCGTTAGCGAGCGATAGCCTATGAGAATTGCGCTTTTTACCAGAATTGTCCTTGCCATTGGCTGTCGCTAGTTAACGATACCGAAAACTGTCGATAACAAGTTACTGAATTCCGCTACAGGTATTATAAAAAATGTACATGAAAATTGTGTGTACATCCTTATCTATTGGATTTATTACAATTATACAAGTAATTTAATTTATTCTCAGAAATTAGTAATAAAATGTATATATTAATGGACAGAATAAAAAATCTATATGAGTTTTATATAATAGCGTATTCGATTTCTTGACTCTACCCGACTCTGGGTCGAGTCGAGTCAGATCTCAAGTTCGATTTGAAACTTTGGCGGAAAACGGCCTAAGGCTGACATTACATTTATCGTACGACAAACTTTGTAAGCATATTGATTGGCTGCAAAATAGAAACTTTCTTGAGTTTCTAGAAATTAGCTAATCAATGCGCTTAAAAAGTTTGTCGTACGACAAATGTAATATTGGCCTAAGGCAACAAAGTGGCTGTACACGGCCCTGAAAAACGTCGAAAAAAAGTGGACGCTCATGATGGCTGCGATGATGTTTTAAGGCTGGTTTATGCAGGCCGTAACTGTTAATTTATGCCGGAACCGTTAAAGTTTAACACTAGGATTACAATGCTTTTGTTCATAATGCCATTATGAACAAAAGCATTGTAATCCTAGTGTTAAACTTTAACGGTTCCGGCATAAATTAACAGTTACGGCCTGCATAAACCAGCCTTTATTCAAATTTCACATCTATACTTAACGAATTCATTTAGCGCTGTAATTAAATATTTTTTTGTATACGTTTGATAATGTTGACAATCAGTGACAATTGTTATTTTTTATAGCATAATATATATATTGAATATTTAGAGAGCACACTCACAAGCAATATTGCGTATTGGAGAGAAATTTCTTCAATGAGATTTTCATGCGCATGCGTGAATCATATAAATATTGTCACGCAATTGGCTATCAAATATAGAGAATTTTTAAAGTCCCGAAAATTTTTTTATTTGATAGCCAATCGTGTGACGTTATGGCCGTGTTCCGAAATTCATGATAGTGTTGGAAATCTATAATTATATAACGTGAACTATAGATTTCCAGCACTGGCAGTGAATTTCGGAACACAACCTATGTTTATGTGTGTTCTTGCTGGAAAGCTTCCAGAATAACGTTTTACTTTGTCCCATTTGGTCCCATTAGCAGACAGAAATTCAATAAAAACAAGAGAAGAAATGGAGTTTGTGCATTCTGAAGATACACATGACGAAGAAAATTTATATGCCTTTGTAAATATATTTATAATTTATAAAAATTTTTATATTTATAATCACATAATATTATGTCTGTTAGTATGTATGTAACCTTAAAAATTTTGTTAAACAGAATGAGGAGGATTTACCATACGAGGAAGAAATTTTACGAAATCCATTTTCAGTTAAACATTGGATAAGTTATGGTATAATTATCTTTGACAACGTATGAGCCAGTTAAAAGATCGATGTATAACAGATCCGT